CGTGGGAGCCCCAATCCTTCCCCCCCCCCAACCCAGCAGGAGAGGGGAAGGCAGGAGTCAGTAAGTGTGGGGGGAGCTGGCTTTTAAGAGACAGAATATATCAGAGCAGCAGTGCAAGGTGGGGAGGCAAGTGACTCTGCAGGCGCCGGTATGTACAGGGAGCCAACTTAAAAGACAGCTTCCTATGCACACCGGCTCCCCCCTCCCTGGGTGTAAGCATGTATTCACTGAGAATTTCTGCAGGTAAACCTTTATCAAAAGAAACACATTTTATCATCTCTAATTTAGAAGGTGTTGAGGTCTTAGACCAGTGGCATCCCAATTTTCATGTTCTTCATTTTGATCCAGGGCACCCTGATGCTATATACTACTGTCTCCATTTAGAGTATGTCTCCAGCTCAGAGAGCCAAGATATGTACTAGCACTGCTGAGCTAGAGTGCCAAAAATAGCAACAAGAAAGGTCATTGGAGTGTCACCCAAAAGTGAGTCCATAAAGGAAATTAAGGTCAGAAAATGACTCTCTAAAAATGGAATCCTATTCTTCAACAGAGCTACTCCACACGTTTACTCTTACTCTACTTCAGTGAGAAAAGTACATTTTTCAGCTGTTTACTGTAGAACCACTGCAGCAATGAGACAAGTGAGCTGGATTCTGTTCTGGATCATGTATCAAAAGGATTGTTAACTGAGGTCCAACTGCAGGGCTATAGTCTATCTTCATGTACGCTGTGCAGTCCTACTGAGGTGCAACCAAAGGCAATACAGTGATAATGCATGATACCGTAAAACCCAGCTTAACTTTCAGCTTGAAGAATGACTGCATGGCTAACAGAAAAAAACTTTTGATATGTAAAATAAGCAACTTTGAACTGCAAGACAAATAGATGGTACTCTGCGATGCTGTTTCTACAGCTCCTTTTTAGAACAGGACCAAACTTTCAGGCAGTAAACAAGACAAGGCCCTTAGTATCTATTTATACTCCCTTTGGGAATGTACTTGGTCTGTCTTACCCTTCTATATTTTCTCTTCAGGCCTATAAGACCAGTGTCCAAAAGGTCCTCCCTCCCCTCTTCAGACAAACTTTCTGGAGGGCATCTGTTCTGTTGAGAGTGAAAGATATTCAGGGCTTTCACATTTAGGTGTTTACTAAGTCTTTCATCAAAATGCAATGATAACCAAATTAGCCCCTCACTCCCTTCTTTCTCATGATCCTTTCGCTGACTGATAGGTTACGGAGTCCTTCCTTTTCTCTGGTCTTTTTTAAATAATGAAAATAGCTGCATACCTTAATATAAAGAGGAACTGGGGGTCAACCTTAAAAAAGCCATAGTGAGATGGTCATCTGGCCTTTTGTTCATGTTACAGCACTAGAAAGAATTGAAGGACTTAATTGACAGATACACTTCTGAGTCATTCTCTCACCTCTATGGTGTAAAGTTGATATCATCTTCCAACCATCAGAGCCCTCTCTAACAAGGTTGTAGCCATATTATAAGCAGAAAGAGATATCTTCCATCTAGAATGCCGCAGGGTGGTAACCTGAGCATTCCTACATCATTTCCCTTGCCACTGCCGGTGTGGCATGCCTACAAGGAAGCCCTGCAGAAAGTGGTCTGTTGACCATTGTTACATTAATGTCTATAGTGCTATTGTCACTAAAGTTCCCTATCTGGACTGACCCCCCCAGGTGGTGATAAAAAACAAATAGTTCTTTTGCCCTAATTTTAGCTTCACTTTTTAATGGGCCATCCCAGATCCCCAAGCCTGAGGCTGCTGAATTGTGGACTGGAAACTTGCACTTTTCTTTGCCCTTTGAAGTGGGGTTTTACAGGTATAAAGGTTGTACAAGACTGAAGGTGTAGTGAACATATATGCTTTTAGATGTTATATTATTTTTTAAATTGTAATAGCAATTGCGCTTTGTGGGGCATTTCTTTTCACCTATGTTTGTTTGTTATCTCCATATTGGACATTGATTTTTCATTAAGGGTTCATGAGTGTGGTTCATTGTTCTAAGGTTTCTTGAACTGGTTTATTCAGACAGAATTAACCTGAATGAAGGAGCCTAATATTAGAGAATTACTTTGGTCCCTCTTGCCATTTGCAATGTAGAAAGATAGAATACCAGTAGTTTGTAATCAGTCACTAAAGAATAAAAGAAACTACATTAATAGGTAAGCAGATCACCTTGTCTCCATTATGACTATCTAATTACTAGTTTTAGAGATGTTTCCTTTTAGTAGCTTATAGATATGGAAAGCAGGCATATCCTAATATGTTGTACACCTTCCCCTCCCGCCCCCCCCCACCAAATTAAAGCCTTTACATATCACATACATGCCCCTTTGGTCATCTATGCTATAATCTCCTTTGAATATGGCTTAGTAAAGAGAAGCCTTTTTCCTTATTGTTTTCCCTTTTGCATCAATAAGGTTGATCTTTCAACACATTGTGGATTTATGGGTGGTCTGCAACGTAATGGCAGCACAGGACAAACAGCACCATATTATGCTACCTCTACCGTGGAAGTCATTTTTCATGTGTCCACAAGAATGCCATCAGATTCAGATGATTCACTGACCAAAAAGGTACTTCATTTATATAATTTACTATGATAGAAATTTCTACAATATTTCTACAATATTGCTAGTAAATTATTTTGAAATATGTGTGTGGGGGGGGGGGGAATGGAATACAAGTTGTACTATGTATGCAAACCCCTCTTTATTCTGCAGCACACAGCTTACTCCTCCAAATTAACTGCTTTGTGAAAACTGGATTCTGCATTTCCATGGCAGCATCAAATACCATTTGTAGTAATAATAATAATAATAACTGTTTTATTTCATTTGCCTCATTGTCATAACCTTCAGAGTTCAGTACAACATAATAAAACTATGTATGCTATAATAAAATGTAATAAAATATCATTCTCCTAAAATACAAAGATGGATGAACAAAAAAGTGAGCTAGTCTACTAAAGGAAGAGAAAAGGAGTGAAAGAAAAGTGATGAATGTGTCACAAAAATCAACCAACTTCAATATGAAACCATCATTAGATTACTCACAATCCTGACAAGCACCCTCAGTTCCAAAGGATGGCCAGAGCCCAGACAGTAACCAACTCAGGAACAACTTTATCCTGAGCGAAACCTGGTAGCTACTAGGCCGGTAGGTCTCTAGCAGTTTCACATATATATTATTTTGCTCTATTCTTTCTGCCTGTCTCCAGACAAAAGCAGCATAGTGCTGATTGCTTTGGTTGCAAGCCCAATAGTATAATAGAAAGTCTTATCTCTGCTGAACAAGGATGCATCCTGTAAATACTGTAGTTGTACAGTGGACTTTATATTCCAGGGGTTGTGCAATTGCAGACTGATGCGGAAACCCCACCTAATTAGGCACAAGGGGATGCATCTATTTCTGATGTAAAATTCACTAAAGTTAGTGCACATCCATCAAGGATGAATTTGGCCCAGTAATTCTACAGACTACAATAATACAAATATGTTTCCTTTTACATATTTTTGGTATGACCTACATTTAAAAAAACAAGTTTTCATATAAAAAAGGTTATTGCTCTTCTAAAAATAAGCATCACAACACTAAATAATATTTGAAGACTTGGCCCCGAACAAAAACTTTTCTACAGACATAATCAAAATTCAACTGGTACCTTTTCCAGCTATAAGATTTAGCACCATTAGTGATAAAAGTTTTATCAAGATATCTCACCGCTAGAATGAAAATCAATCTCAGTAACAGCATCTTACAGTCCCTTGTCTTAGTCTAACTAAATTGTACCCAACAGTTTAAAAATGAGCTGTAAAATTTAAGTGATTTATTTCATCTTCTCCCATTGTTATAGTAGAACATTTTCAATTCAGAAATGTGGTTGCAATACTATACTGAACTCTTGCTCCTTTGCTTCAGAAATTTGTTAGCTATAGCTAGATTAGATTTTTAGCAGCTAATCTAACAGCTGTAGGGGTTTGCAAAGTGGGGACAGAGCTGTGCTATTGGATTTGTCCAATTCATTTGACTCCAGGACTATAATTGCACTTATGTCTTACAAGGCTTTTATAGCCTAAGGCTGGCCAGCAGCAGAAAAACAAATTGGCAGTGATACAGTAAGAGTGAAAGGGAATGAAAGGCACACATTATCAGTCTCCAGGCAGTGCTGTTCTGGCAGGAAGTTTCTTGGGTAATTTACAAATAAAACTTAGATTTTAGGATGGGCTCACTGTCAGACAAACAATGGGGATGTCAGGCCTGACTGTTACTTAGTAAAAGTAGCAGCCATGCCTACCCAAAAGCAGGAATTCTTCAATCAAACAGACGACTCCTTTCTGGAGCCAGCTGGCTATGTAATGCAATTAGTAGGAAAAGGAGGTCAGACTATTAGGTGTGTACCATGACCAGTGTCAGCAGTGGCGTGTTGCCTGGCTGGCAGCATGCAGACTAGCTAAAGCAGAGTGCCTTTAAAACTATTTACTCAAGTGAGTGAGTGGAAGCGGCGCACGACTAGCCTCAGAACATGGAGTTGTTTTCATAAGGCTTGAAAAATGAGCATTTGTACTGTAACTGACAAGTACATTCTGAAGCACATATTCTAGCTGAGGGAGTGCAGCCGAGACATGATTAATGATGGCATAATTCAAATTAGAGGCTATACATTGACCTAAGTTACATGTATATTTATAGTTTGATCTAATTGAGACATTAAGGAAACTTCTGTACTTGAACAAATGTGTGGTTAAAAACATGGGTAAATCTCATTCACGTTCTTAAAGTTATGTTCTGCTTATAATAATCAATGAAGTTTTAGAAGGAAAATGCAAACAGCAAAAGCTTCCTTCCTTGAATATTTGTTTATGTACATCTCCACCAACTTTCAGGGCAGGCTCAGTTTAAAAGAACAGCCTACTTATTTGTCTTATTTTCTAGTTGTTTCATCCTTTTCATGGTTGGTTAATTTTTTTAACAGTGTTTATTGGAGGAGAGAGGACTCATCATTTTTGCTTTGGATTATTTATTCATCTCGTTGGCAATAGCCAAAACAGACACTTTGGGGTTTAGTTTGTTCTCAGAAGCTTTAGGAATATCACACAAAAATCCAAAATATTTTTTGTCAGTGATCTAAGTAAGAAGTCCACAGTTAGTGTATTGTGGCTTTACTATTCTATGTCATTGGTGATATAATAATGTTTTGTCAAAGCACAAAAGCCAATCTTTAAAACAAAATTGATAGGTACAGTATGATAATGATATGATCAAAACTGTCAGAATTCACTGACAATTCAATGAAATCTTTTCCTCCCTTGATTTACAAGACTGTCCTCTTCTGGATCCCCTCCTAATTTTCTAATCTCTCCTTCATCATATCCTTCCTCATCTGCCATTTGTCCCAGGTCCCCTTCTCTTCTGTCTACACCAGTGGTCTCCAACCTTTTTAAGCAGAAGATCACTTTTTGAATTTAAGGGCAATCCAGGATCTACGTCTGACCCAAATACCCTTAACCCGCCTCCTTTGTGCCCCTTCTCTGAGGCCCTACTCCTGCTAACTCCATCCTCCCTCCCTCCCTCCCTCCCCCATCCTTCCTTCCTTTCACCAGGCAGGGGCAGGGGGGTTGGGACACAGGCTCTGGTCTTGGGCTAAGGGATTTGAAGTGTGAGGGGGCTCTGAGCTGAGCCTGGAGCAGGGAGTTGGGGTACAGAAGGGAGTTCAGGGTGAGTTCAGGGCTAGGACAGGAGCTTGGAGAGTAAGAAGGGGTTTATGATTAGGGCAGGGGTTTGGACTTCTGGCTCCAGCTGGACACTGCTTACCTCAGGTGGCTTCTGGGTGGTGGTACAGTGGGGCTAAAGCAGGATCACCCCTGCCCTGTCCCTGCACTATGCTCAACAACACCCAGAAAACTCCCTCCATCCGTTCTATGGCTATAGAATACAGGGTGGGAGGGGGGGCACGCTGACATCAGCGCTCCCTCCTCTCCCTTCCCTGCTCTGCACAGCAAGCAGCAGGCTCCCGCTGGGCAGAGCCAAGGCAAAGGGCAGGAGATGCACAGCAGTGGGGGAGAGGCAGTTGAAGTGCTGTGCTTGATAGCCTCTTGGCCAAACCAGTCAGGGTCACCTGTCAGAGGCTCCTAGATCTACCAGTAGAGCCCAGTCTATTGGTTGGTGACCACTTATCTATAAATTTCATCTCTGGGCAATCCACAGATACAAATGTAACTACAATGCCAGCAACTCACAGATTTACATCTCTAGTCTGTGTTATCTTCTGTCCAAATTAAAGCCTCGATCTGCTTCTCTGACGTCTTGTGAATGGCTAGCTAAACATGGCTAAAACAGAGTCACTAATCTTCTTCCCACATCTTCCCTACTGTCACTTTTCTCTATCACTCTGGACAACACCATCATCACGGTGGTCAGGCAGGCTATAACCTGGACGTCACCTATGACTCCATGGCCAGGCTCATGGCCAGGCTATAATCAAACTATCTTAATACACAGCCTTTATACATCCTCTAAAGCGCTTGATTAAGCTCTCATCGTCTTGTGCATTGATTAATGCAACATTATTTTTTCTAGCCTTGATAAATACAATCTTTCCTCATATCTATCCTTTCAGAATGCTGCTGTCAAGTTCATTTTCCTAGCCCATTACTTTGACAATGCTACCTCTCCCTTTGAATCCCCATGTAGAGATATTGAATCAAACATAAATTGCTTGTGTTCACTTTCAAGGCCTTTATAATAAATCTCCACCATATTTACCTCTCATTCACTACTGAATTGTTAATCTTCTCCTCTGTTTGGCCCATGAAACCAGTTTCCACTGCCCATTTGTTAAATTTTTAAATAGGCATCTGTGTGCTTTCTCCTATGTTGCCCCATGGGTGTTTGGAATGCATTTGGCAGAAACATCCACCAAGCTACCTTATTACCCACCTTCAGAAGTCCTCCTCAGAACTTTCCTTTGCAAAGATATCTACAGAAAACCTGACAATGGTTAAATGTTTAGTGTGGCAAACTGCCTATCCTATTGACCAATACTATCTCCTTGTTTACTTGTATTCCCTGTCTGCCTATATTGATTTGTTGGTTTTTGTCTCATACATTAGAAGTCTCTGGGAGTAGTGACTGTCTCTTTGTACGGTACCTAGCACAGTGTGGTCTATGGCTAGGGCTCCTAGGTATTATTGTAGTTCAAATAATAATACTGATCAAGGATACATGACCTTTACAAATATTATGATAAATGGTCTTTCAAGCCGCAAAGGTAATTATCACTCTAAAGCAAATACACGTTTCTGGTGTTACTTTGGGCTGTGATTGTGTTATATCTCACAGGTGAAGCAGAATGTAGTCTTGTCAGATTTAGATGGATAACGTTTCAGAGAACCTAGGTACTAGGAAGAGAGATTCATGATTCAATATGTGTCTGTCTTCTAAGTGAGAATCAAACTGATGCCAAAGCATTGTACTAATAAGCACTCCATTTCTGAAGGGAGGTATCTTTTGGAAAAGACACAGAATCAAGGTTCCAGTCACATGTGATCATTAAGTATGTTGTCTTTTTTGTAAAAGATAGGACTGTACGCCACTGTTTTCTGGCTAAATGACAACTAGCAAAATTACATTCTGTTTTGGACGTTCTCTTGTATTTAAATCCTATTACAAAATGTGGTGTTGCTAGTTCAGAATGGCTACTATGTTAGCATGCTAGAAGTGGCTATATTTCAGACATAGATGAGCAATCCCTATAATGTTTGTAAATTATTTTGGGATTCTTCAGAATGAAAAGTGCTTATAAATATAAGAACTCATTGGTTGAAGAAATCATATGATTGAAAAAGAAGTTCTGCTTTTTTCAAGGTTTGGTCTTGTGTTTTTCCTCTTGCTTTTTATACATCTGCATATGCTTTCAAAGAACTTGGAGACTGAGCGTTGTAGGAGATATTCCTTCAGAATGTTGTATCTTACAGTTAGAGGAATGTGCTTGTGTTCCTCTATGTAACTGGATAATCTGTGAAGAGGATGTTCTGTGATTTCATATATGTTGTGTACTGGAATTTGTTAAATTAATGATGGTTTTAAAATTCAAGCAAAGTAGGTTTTTAATTTGTTGCAAAGCTACTACTAGAACTCTGTCTTAACTTCAGTCTTCTATATAATGAGTTGATTTATATAAATAAATCCTTATTTACACTGAGTAGCACTTCAAAAAATATTCCCATTGAACTGTTTTCAAAAATGCTACTCAGTGGGTACAAGAAATATAATTGGGCTCTTACTGTTATTCAGCTAGTATACTATTACATTAAATGTACCCGTTTGTGTGCTGTGAATTCCCTTCCACATTGTGTTTATTTTTTGCTAGAGTAATGTATACTATTTCTGAATAGCTGTAACGTATGTATTAGTGTAGCCCAGACACTTCTTTTGTTCAATAGGAAATTTGCTTCACATTTTGTGGTCACTCATACAGTTTTTAAGTTGCATCCATTTACTCACTGTGGGCGAAATCATATCCTCATTGAAGTCAGTGGGAGTTTTGCCATTGTCTTCAGGGGAACCAAGATTTCACTATATATCTGTGTGTGTATCTATATATCTAGCTATATGTGTGTGTACACAAAATACACAATTTTCACACATTTTTGTTTTTTATCTCAATCATCAGGTAGCATTAGAAAATAATGGAATGCGCATAGCCATGGGCAGGATTGTGAGAGAGTTATTTTACACTAATCTGTATTGGTCCAGGGGAAAAAAATACTTTGTGTAGTGTTTACACATTTCAAACTGAGGAATGAGTTACTGATGATTACTTATTTTGTAGCTAGAACTGAAATTGATTTTTTTTATTTGTATGTATAAATTAGAGAAATAAATTCAGTAACTTTTCAGTGTCAAGTAAAATCAAATAATGAGCTGTGAACTTGAGTTATTGTATGAACAGGTCTTATTTTGCTTTGCTCAAGTATAAATTCCAGCTATTATTAGCCCATAATGTCCTAAGTAAAGGAACTGTTTTTAGCATTCCGATCCTTGCAATATTGTTTTGAAACTTTGCTAGAAATCCTTTACTGTTGAAAAATTACTACCAAATTCTAGTAGAATGAAATTCATCACTATCAGAAGGCCAGAACATAACCTATGGTTTATTCTAATCATCAGCTTTCTCTATTTTAAGGTTTAAATGGAACTTAAGTATTGTACAGGTCTTGTGCTAGCCTCCTGCATAGGAGTAAATTTCACTTTTAATAACTAGATATAATATCACGGTAAAGTGTAGAGCAGAAACAGTCTATTGTGAATGTTCCGTGTGTAATTTTCAAATTACTTTACATTCGTTAAATCACAAACATTTTTTCCTCATAAAGAAAAGGCACTACTATTTAATAAAGGACTAGTTATATGATAAAATTCAACTTTAAGCTTCAGGCATATTTTGTTTGTTTTTTTAAAGGTAATTTTTCTCTAGTTCTCTCATAACTCAAAAATTACTTTCAAAATTTTGCTCACATTTTCAGAACATAATTTGCCTTCTGACAGCATAATAAGCATCAATCCCAAAAGTCAGTCTTTCAGGTGTCTGAGAAAATAGAATATGGAGAGTCACAATAGAAGATGTGTTTGCAACCAGAATTTTTATTGTTGTATAGGTTTCAGTATTTTAACTGAATTAAAATGTTCTGCTAATTCTCATTTTGATATAGTAATCCAGATTATCATAGGAATCTGTATATACACTATGCATTTACAATTCATGCAAGCTGATAATTTGATAATTACTTAATCACAACATTAAATAACAATGTTTTAAATGAGACAAGTTCTTTAGTTGCTTTTAATTTCCAGCAAGCAGAGAAAAACAATATTTTAACCTTTTCTGTAATGAAATATTTCTACTGTCAAGCATTGTAATTCAATTTGTAAGCCATGACCCCTCATAAACTGTTGTTATCACTCTGATTAATAAAGAGCCAATTTGCCGTTGCAGCTTCGTCACTTGGGAAATGATGAGGTTCACATCGTCTGGTCTGAGCACACCAGGAACTACCGCAGGGGTATTATACCAACAGATTTTGGAGATGTTTTAATTATTATTTATCCAATGAAGAATCACTTGTTTTTTGTAGAGATAATGAAGAAACCAGAGGTATGTTTTGACTGTGGCCAACATTTCTTGTATAGCTTAAAGAAAACTGCCTTATTCTGAGAATTTAATAAGTACACATTTAAATAACTAGATATTAAATGAAGAACATATTCATGTTACTGTAATGCTTAACATTTGGGGACAACCTTTTAAAATTCTAAAGTGTAGGAGATGAAATATAAAGAAACTTGTTTAAAACAATGGCAAGGCTCTATTTAAACTAATAAAATCAAGGAAATTTAGAGAGACTTCACTTGGCATTAATTCTCCCCACCATACTTAGATACTGCAGCACATATGTCACATATGGTTCTGTATGTACCCTCAACCAGGGTTTGAGACCTCTGCAATAGTCTGACTCATTGGGATGATTTAAGAAGTGTGTGCCTTTCCTCTCACTTAGCATCCTGGGTTTTGGGGGGAAATATCCAAATTTGTGGTGTTAGTAAGACTTATTTTAATTTCTCTTCTATTTTAGTCAATAATTTAAAAGTGTAACTTCAGTTTCCTAGTAAATGTGATGTTAAATCTCAGAGCAAAAGGAAACCAGTGTCTAAAAAGTTGTACACATAAAGGGAGAAATTATAAGTGTGCGTAAATTTGTGGTTGTAATTTATTTGATACATTAATTTTTTAATGGAAAATTTATTTAATAAAAGTAATTGTAGTCCACAATACCATCTCCTTCATAGATGAAGGATGATGTTTGTCTTAAGGTACAGCAGTGTACTAAAATGATCCATAAATCCAGTAACACATTTTTTTAAGTTGAATATGTTACATCTTTCAGATCCATGAAAAAGACAAGAACTATACAGTTTAACAATTAGTAATTTGTCAGTAAACAGTTGCAAATTCTAAGGTTTATTTTTGTAACTTGTTAATTTATGCCCTTTTATTTCTGTTAAACCTTATTTTGGATGTATAAAGAATCTACAATGTATTTGTCAGGAACCTTAAAATAGTGAAAATGACATCTTAGAATGCTGAAGTGTTATAGCCAATAGTATCATGTCATGAGAATGTCGCAAAAAAAAAAATAGAATTTAGCATTATAAGCTTGTTTGAAATTTGTGTGAATTGATCCAAGAAAATCTGTGCCTTTTACATATTATTGAAAAAAACCACCCAAGGGCATAAAGAATAATAGCCAACTGGAAATTTAGTGTTATCCCTACATTTAAAGTACAAACCATTACAATGTAATAAAATTAATCCAGACATTTCCAGGGCAAGTGTGGCTGACCTTTTGTTCACCAGCTACTGACCCCAGGGTGAATGAAAGAAGCTTGCAGAGAGAAATGTCTGTTGTTTGGCTTCAGTCCCTGGTATTTAAATTGCATTCCCTAATCAAATGAAAAGGCTGTCCTCTCTATCAGGTTACAGAATCCATGGCAACATTTGGCCTTTTATATACATAATGTTAGCCTTTTTGTTTGCATCTAAGTAGAGACACCTGGAGCAATGTTAACATTAACCGATTTAGCATTAATCGCTTCATTATATAAGAATTTCTGATCAGATTGCTGTTACTTTTGTTATATTGCTTCAGCTTGTATTGTTTTCATTTTTTATCTCCCTGCTTGGCAACCAGGCAATGATTTGCAAAATTTTTTGTCTTGATTAATTAAGCAATATAATTATCAGGAACTGTGATGCAGTCTTTGCTCAACAAAGCTTCTGAGAGAAAACAATAGTAAGTCTGTTAGTATGAATGCATTCCACGCGTCACAGATGCATGAGGATATTCTAAACAATGAGACGAAAAGCTGCCTGCAAAAGAGGACAAAGAATGCCATGCAGACTCTACACACTACACATACCGCCAGGGACATACTGTGTGTTCCCTGGGACACAGATGCCTCGTTAGATTGCAGCTAGTCATCAGAGATTAATTCTCAGCCATTTGGTACAATAATTTACCCATTCCCCAGTCTTTTAACTAGTGCTGCTTGCTATAGAACTGAAGTATTTATACTCAAAAGGTTTATTTAACCTTGTCTTCTTTTAGTGGGTACACCAAAAAAAAAAAAAAAAAAAAAAAAAACCTATTTGACTTAGTAATTCCAATGAAGCAGGTGTTTGCAATGTGGAAAATATTAATTTTTGTGTTTCATGGATAACTTACTTTAGCATTTGTAGTGGTCAAAGAAAGTGTATGTTTCTCTCCACAACTGTACATTTTATCTGACTATAGTTTATTTCTGTTATTACCTTTACTGTATTTTTCAACTGACACACTCAACATTCGTCAGAAGGTAATCTTGTTTTCTCTCCCAAGATCAACTTACATAAAGTACTAACCAGAGGACATTGTAATATATATTCAATTTACATATTCAACCAAACTCCCTCATTAACACAAAAAGATCCACATGGGCGAAGCTTATGACTGCATGGAGTCCCATTGATTTTAATGGGCCTCAGCATGGGTATTGAGAGTGCATAGGAATTGATAATGCTAGTCTTTTTGTTTATATGGATTTATGGTCCAGTTGTGTATTCCTTTTGCAACTAACACTCCCATAAAATCAGAGTCCACAATTGGGGATTTCTACACCAGTCCTGCAGTGTACTGAAAAACCTCAACATCCACTGAATTCAGATGGAATTAAGCATTCTCTGCAATTCAGAGGATGAAAGCCTTAAACTGAAAGCTCTTTATGTTATGGATTTAACACATTTTGAGAAGTTCCAGGTATACTCATAGCAGTCAGTTAATACATATATTTAATAATAATAATAATAATAATTGTTATTATTATTATTTATTAAATAATAATAATGCATATTCCACTGTAAGGCCCTTTTTCCTCACTAAGAGACTCCTCGCTCTTGATGAGATAGAGATAACACAGAGGCTCACAACTCTGAATGTCCCAGCACCATGTTACACATTTGACAGACTGAATCTGTCTTTTATTAACTGTCATGCAAAGTCAATTCTGTACCTCCCTGTGTTCATGTTTGAGTCTTTAAGTCCATACTGGATTGAAAAAGAGAGATGTGCATAAAGACTGATTGTGTATACAAGTTGACAACACCTGTCGTCTTCTGATTGTTGTGTTAAAAATTTTATAAATCCAGAAATTAGATAATTTTCATAGAAACCTTTTTCTGGAACTTCCTTTGACCTAGTCCAAAATTTGCCAACCCTTGATGATGTTGTCTTCATCATCCTCCTGAAAATATGCTTCTTTGAAGAGGCCTGTAAACCATAGGCCACCCATCTACCTGATGTATTAAAAGATATTCACATAAAAGTAATCCATGCAAAATCATGGAAGTTACAAGGTTTAACCTCACAATTGTACCATATTCCTTTTTGTTGCTCCTCTTTCCACCACATCCTTGTTTGCATATCATATGTTATGGGATCTACCCTGTTGCAACTCCTACTCAGATGAGTAGATTTATGGTAATACTATTACTCAAGTGAGTAAAATTACTTGCACAAGTTGACAGGACTGATTCTTTATTTCATAAGCTGCTCTGGGTAGGGACCTTGTCTTCACATTTATCCATAAATAACAATAATTAAATCTATTCTGTGGTACAAGGTACAAATAGTTCCCATTTTCAGAATTCTGATTTTACATTAGCTCAGAACATGATTTTAATGGCATACTTATCTTGAATACTAAAAAATATAGTCATCGATGGAAAATACATTTTTTCTCTTTACGGATATAATATTGAAATAGATTTGTGTCAGAATCTCGCATTTCATTCTGTAGATGAAAATGGCTCAGTTTGGAAACATTTAATTTTTTTACATTTGTTAAAGATTACTTGTTGATTTTCAGAAAATGTCATGATAAATGTAACTTGTATGATGCTGCCCATATGTTTCCAAAATTTTAATAATTTTCTTTAATATGCAAGTATCAAGACTTTACAAGATATGACTGATAGTCAAAAAGATTATCTGAAAAGTACTTTCATTTTATAATTCCAGTGATTTACATTGTCAACTTTTTGTTTTTGTTCATATGGATATTAAAGCCTCTAAAATTAACTCTTAAGACATTGACATAAATTAACTACTAAGACATATCAGTTTCTGGTCAGTTATGTGCGTAAGTCGCCAAAATTTCAAATTGAAATTGTGTGTGAGGTCTGCATATGGTGTTTGTAAGTGCATATCCTTGTTATTCACACCTAGTATGCAGAATTAACAGGTCTAGCTCTTTGCTTCCTGTCTCAATACTTCTAAAATGTTTTTCATTTAATAGGATTTTTAAATATTACACTTAAATGTTTTGGTCTTGCAATTCTTAATTTTTATTTTTTTTAAAAAAAAGCAAAAACGTACTGCCCTAGAACTTCGTGGCAAAGATTGTTTGGTTTTTTCCATTTGGGAATCTACTACATTTTACAAATGGAAATAGATGATAGCTCTAAATGTTAAACGGTGCATGCTGAAAATCTGCCAAAAGTAGTCAGATTATGGAAATATTTTATATTAATCTATTTCTTCAGGTTTTAATAATTGTTTTAAGTAAAGGAATGGCATTATCAAGAACTGTGTGAAAAGACAGCTGTCATTTGCAGATGTTATATTAAAACCAAATTTCTTCTGTGATTCATTGCCACTTCTAATTAGAGGGATTCCCTGGATGCAGGGGATTTATATTATTCCTTTTGTCCACTTATTGAATGACTGTCACAGTCACCCACAAAGCTGTTGCAGAAGAATAATAGAGGGTATTTATTTATGTGATAAGCCCCAGTACAGATGGAAAAAGATCCATAGATTAAATTTTGATAATTACTGTTAGCGCCTGTTTAGTTTCTTTTTTGTTTTGATTTTTGTGGTGGAGAAATTCTTTCATGGTTGATTTATTCTAAAAATCAGTATCTGCTATACATTTTTAATATCCTTAAGAGTTTTCATTTTTCTTTTAATTGTCTGTATTAATTTTATGTGTGTGTGTTTCTGTACATACTTCCACTTTACAAATGATTTGGGCTTCTCCATGTCTTGTGCCTATTCTGACATTTCCCTGTAATGTTCAGTGGTAGTGAAAGCACACTGCAAGTTGTCAGCCTACTTTATATGATCGGTTCCTTAGTGATTCTAAGCCAATGAAAGGTATCACAGTTTTGACTCCTCTACTATGGAAAACCTTTCAGCGTCTTGCCCCTATGTATTTGTGAAATACTGTTTTTAATATGGGATATTATGGTATATTTTTACTATCACTGCCCCTTAGACAAAAAGTTAATTACCGTGGGCCAGATCATTATTTTTCCTTATGAAAACCTTTAAACAGAGTTGTACAAGAGACGGAGGTTTCCTATGTGAAATTCCACTTGTAAGATTTAGTATAGACAAATATCTACCTTCGGTATCATAAAGTAATATCTTCCAGGGGCGCATTACCACTCTCAAGTTCACAGATGAACTCTGCAGTTATACATAATACTGTATAAAAAATAAGCATATTTTAAATCTTAAACCATTTACAAAAGTATTTGTTTACATATTAGGTGTGCTGGGGACAGCTATGTAAAGTTTAATCTCTCCACAGAATGTATCTATTTTAAATGCATTGAATTATATCTAATATTGGTTTTGTTTCTGTAGTGAAGTTATCGCAGTAGTATGTTAACTGCATTCAATAACTAGGGTCCCAGTGCACAGTTGAGGAGATAGGCTTGTGGCCTAGATGTGAACCCAGAAATAAATCTTAATCTATTTTTAAATGCCAATCCTCATTTAGGTCAATAGAATAAAACAAATTTGGAGCTTCTTGTTCATGTCATCTTTAAAAAATAACAAGCCAACCCCCTTGCTCTGTCTAAAAAATTTAGATATTTTCCAAATAGAAACTCAATTTCTAAGCTCTCATAGCAACGCTGTCTGTTTGCCTGCTCCTAGGTTCCCTCTGCAGCTTTTCAGAAAAAGTCTAGAATCAGATCATAGAGGGATAATATCTGATTAACTTTATTCAGTCTTAATAAATGCAAGGACCTGTTAAAATTTGCCTTAATGCACACTAGCTCATATCTTTTATAGACAGAATCATTTCTATGCTACCCTAAATAGCAGAGGTGTTCCCTGCTCCAAAGAATGTGCAGTCTGAGAGACATAACATATACAGTGCTTGTTGCCATTGGAACCTCATCCTCCACCCATAACTAGACTCCCTAATTTAGACAGTAAGGCTGTGGAGGACGTTGTCACCTTAAGTCTCCATCACAAAACTCTTTACAGTTAAAAGGAAATTATTATAGTTAAGTCTTTAGAATCCCTTTGAGAGACTTACTGGATTACTCCACTTTTTATACGTGGCTCAATCCAATCTTTCATTCAAATTTACTTAACAGCTGTATTAGATTCTAGACTTCTTTGGGAATTTTCTCCTTTCTTGCCTCCCTTGGAGACTTCAGTTTTACCTTGTTACCTTTTTCATGTAATCACACTTTTCTTGGGCTGACTGTTCTTCAGGGCACTAGACAGGAAGCAGGCCCTTAGTTTCAGTCCCAGTCATGACTGAACCCCAGTGCTATGCTTCATTAGAACAATGCCTAAAGATTCCTTTATTCAAAATAGTTATGATGGTCAGCATGCAAATGGATATTTAAACGATATTTAAGAGGGAAAAGGGTGGTCCCCTTTGGACAAACTTGCACAAGTTGTGTCTAAAGATCAGGGGCCATAAAGGGGTAATGCAGTCTCCCATGACCCATGCTAGACATCTAATAAGTTTGCAAAACAGTGTCTGAGTTATATCCACATTTTGTCTTAATGCTGCTTTTATATATGAATGCAAATACTGAATTTTTTAACTTGAACCTGTGCTGCAAATTACAATCTGAGGAAGAAAATCCATGACAAGAAACCTTCTTTATATTACTTACCAAAACTAAAATCTACTGTGTGTGAATTTTCTTCTATGTTCATTGCTGTACCTTTCTTCTGATCTTAGCTGCAGTGATGGGATGGAGGAGAAATGCTATATCTAACACACACACTATTCACAGGCAGTATTCTAGCAGTCAGGGTTTTTTTGTCTGCACTGAAACGTTGAAAAAATATTTATTAGTATCTTCCTGGTCTTCAAAAGAGATGGGAACTGCTTGTTTGATCCAGACACAGAACTTTAGGTATACAAATATTTAGCTGTAAGTACAGTGGCAGAGCTGAATAAATGTATGTTTTTGTGAAAACAAAATATCGTCATGAATGTCTTACCAGAAGACACACATAATAAGGTACATATAATAACATGCTTATTTTATTTCTGTGGGAAATAAGTGGTGCAGACCCATTATAAAGAGATAATGGGTCAGATATTTTTCATTTTTGCAGTCTCCCTTTCCAAATCCTCATTGGTCCTTATTTGTGTATTGCAGGATTTAATATAATGTCCTCAGAATAGATTTTCAAAGGCATGAAGGGAAGTTAGAATCCTTAATCCTTTGAAAGTAGTGGCGATTGAGTACCTAGTTTCCAATTCTAACTTGGAAAATCTCCACTCTTCCCCCAAATTATATAATTAATTTAAGACCAGAGAATACTGTACCTAAAAATGCCATCATTTTTGGTTTGCAGGTGCCATTTTTTGGTCCCCTCTTTGATGGCGCGATAGTGACTGCAAAACTGCTGCCAAGCCTTATATGTGCCACATGCATCAATGCCAGCAGAGCTGTGAAATCTCTAATACCACTCTACCAGAGCTTGTATCCTTTCCTTCTGTGCATTTTATGCAATGTATATGTAGGAATCATACGTACAAGTATTCTTCTAGTAGAGGTAAGTGCTAATGACATCTCTTTGGTTGGACTTTATGCCAAGAACTGTGCATCAGGAAAATGTGAACACTTTCTTCCTATCGAGCAGCGTGTTGTTAGACTAATTCTTGCTGAGCTTTAATCTGATATGGTATGTTTTAAAAAGAAAGGATAGCAATACAAAAATGCTCTCTACATCATTTTTGGACTTAATTACATAGTCAATAGGTATGCTGTTATATGTAATGGTGCTTTAAACTTTAAGAGGAGGGGGCTATACAAACTCCTATAGCACAGAGAAAATAATTGTATGTATTAGCTTAATATTTACAAAAGAATTCCCTTACTGTAATTATGCAAGTAATTTCAGTGTCTTCTTGGAGAATCTTAACATCAGTAAGATAGCATTTGGCCAATTATATTGATATTTATTAGTCTTTCTCTCCATTTTTCATATTGCCCATATTGCATCTTAGAGTTTTGAGAACACATTCTTCCAGCTGTTGTTATAGGTAACTGGAAGGTATGCTTTGGTGTTGTAGAATTGGGTAGTGTGAATTCTTCTTCTTCTTCTGTGGTATGCAAGCTAATCGTATAAAATCACTCATTACTTGACATTCTGGTTTTCTTTTCTCTTAATGCCACTAATGTTATAAAATGATTCTAGTGTGCTTCATTAACCACATTGCTAACAGTCCCAGTCTTCTTCTTTCTGTTTATTTTGGAGGCTTTTCATTTAGGGCAGCGGTGAATTATGTAATGAGGAGTGTTTTCATTGATTTTTCTGAGCTGAAACAACTGGAATGCTCAATCTTTGTGATGAAGCAAAGATGACTTTGTTAAAGTGTGTCTGAGGCATTTACATTTTAGGCTCAGTTTTTCTATTTACTAAGGCTATGTAAGAAATAGTATTTTTTGTAGAAGAGCTGAATTTGATTCATTGTGTTTGTGGAAAGCTTCAGAAATGAAGATTTACATAAGTATCAAAGAAACGAAATAACATTTTGTTGCCTTTTTATTTTTCCTTTTCAGTTTAAACTAGATAAAGTAGTTTGGAGTTGCACGAGCAGGCCCACACAATACCTTAGATATAAGATTATGGCAGTACTTAAAAACAGACTCAGAACTCACTAGCTTTTTCACTTTTGTGTCATGAGTGGGTAATTCAGCTAAGTACTACTGTCAAAGTAGTTCCTTCTATCAATAACCTTGACTGTATGAGCAGATGTGTTAAGCTGTGTCTGACAATAAAACAATCAGTGTAGTATTGCTGGTAACCTGAACATAGTAACAAGAGATTATAAGAGTGAAAAAGATGCCATTACCTCTTAGGGAAAAAATGATTTTTGACACAGTAGGAAAACAGAAGATATGATTTGATGTAATGTTCATCCTTGCCCTTTGTCCCCTCTAGATTTTCCTATAATATCTACCTCAGCAGGCTAAGTAGAATCTGTCAAGTTTAGCCTTTATCTAGTGGTTACTGCTCTTTCTCAGTGGTTAGAGCTAGCTCAACTGCCATCTGCTTTTTTTTTCCCTCATGAGCAATCAGTGGACATATTTTAATGTCTAGAGTGCTGAAAACTGGAAGTTTGCCACTTGCTATGGTTACAATTCCCAAGTTAACCAATGATTTTAAAATCAAATCATAGTCAGTGGTTATCAGGATCAAAACCAATTTCTCTAAACTGCACTCTGCCACCTAGGAACAATGATACATAGCAAATATAAATACTGTAGCCTTTTCTAACTTCAGAGCAATGTATACACATTAAAATACAAACCCATGTTTTAAAGAAAGAGTTCAGCTCTGGTACAGTTACCTTATCAGAACCACTTGACTAATCCCTAGCATTCTAACATGCATGTATGTATCTAACTTTGTGTGCGTAATGACATTTGTGGGTGACATAGTGGAGTCCGAGGGTGACTCTGTTGAGAAGAACATGTGTGCTATATAGCCATACAAGAATGCTAGGGATAAATAAGCTGGTTTACTTAAGGACCTGTATCAAAAAGAAACCATTTTTAAGGTTCCTAGTAAGGCAACACACTACCCCATAAACAGATCCCCAGTTCCTTCATTGTCACTGCTCCACCTAATGCTAAGAGAGATCACCATGTCTTTCATCTCCCTTAGGCCTGAAGGCTCTGTAGAGGCTCTGCACATTTCATAGGCATTTGGTTTTCACCAGCCTGCTGTAACTCAACCACATCTGCTTACAGGGTGGGACAAAGAGGGCAATTACCACAGCACCTGCTGCTGCTGCTACTATAGCATCAGCCAGAGTTCCTGGCCCTTTAAATCCCCTCTGGAGCACCACTTGACATGCTCTGGGTAACTGAGAGCTACTGGGGGGAGGGCACACTGCACAATATGCTCTGGACAGTGCTGTCTGCTCCATCCCTGCCCCTTCTGCCCAAAGCGCTGCCTGTTCCAGGAGCACAAGGCCACCTACCCCCCACCTTGCCCAGAGGCCTGGCAAATCTCTCAGCCTCCCTGGACCCACCTTTTGCAAGGCCTATGCCTCTCTATATTATACAACACACACAGAGACTAGGTATGATGCATGCCACTGTTCCCTTCTAGAGGCATTGTGAGGTTTGGATGCATCATTATTTTTCACATGTGCACTTTGACATCAAACCATACTTTGCATGTGGCAATGTGATGTAAATCAAGAGTATAAATAACAGGAGCCTGACAGAGCAAGTGGACCTCACAACAGGTAATACAGTGGGTAAGAGACATCAGAGAAGGGGGAAAGCTGGGATAGGGTGGAAAGTATTATGAAATTTTTATTGCATGTGGCAGAGAATAAACATTTCCCTTTAAACACAAAGTAAAGATTTGGTGACTGACTTAAAGGGATAGAACATTTTATTGGCCACCCCTGCCAGAGAGAATTCTCATTGAAGCTGGTGATTACTGGTGGGGTGGGAGGGGAAACAAGATAGAACAGAGCACACAAGGGACCTGAAGATCTGTCATGGGATGAGAAGGCAACTTTTTGTCTTCAACCTGTAGCGTGCACAAATCTGTCAGGCTGTTGGTTGGAAATACGAAACGAACGGAAAGGGATTGACAGAATAAGGTCAAAGGGTTTATATACAAAACTATAATTTTCCATGCACATATTTGCTCATAAAATGCTTACAACTGAAGAGAGAAAACTGAACAATTACTAATATAGTGAAAAACTTACTATTGTACACATTAGTAGCCCCTTCCCATAGTTTTCATATGTTGTATTTTGATGCTATCCAATCTTGGTGTTTTGAGGGTGACTATGTTAAGAAGACAATTTGTGTTTGATTATAAACTAAAGTAGTGATTGAGTTATAAGATTGGAGAAGATTAATGTCCTAAAAATAATCATCCTGATAATTATCTCCCAGTGATTCCTCCAAACTCCAGTAAAATAATACAAAAAAATTGAGAGAAACTTTCTAAGCATCTACAAGTTAATATAACCACGAGCAATAGTACCATAAATTAGTAAGGCATATATCGTGCCAGAAACAGTTATTTGCATTTTTGATAGAATTACAGAAAATGGATGTTTCAATAGCTGTACAATGTTCAAATATTATTGAAGATTTTCTGGTATCTCAGGAAATCTTACTCTCAGAATTTAATGAGATTGTCCTAAAGTAAGAACAGTGCCATCTAGACTGGAAATGAGCTGAAGAACTGTAGCCAAATTGTAATGATGAACAGAAATGTGTTGAAAGTATTGACAAATATGAAGACATTCTGAGAACAGCAACAAAAACAATTAGGGATCTTCAGAAATGTGTTTATGACCTGAATTTGGGAATAAACTAAAAAAATGCATTACAGCAAATGATAGTGGAGTCAGAAACATAATGCAAAGTGAAACATAGTGTAGAATAATGTTGAGGACAGTACAATAATTGTGAAAAATGTATCTCAAATAGCAAAGTTCACTTTCGTTTTCACTTTTTAATTTAGACAACATGCAGTGAAAATGCTTGCAGTGCCTCAGAGGAAATGATGTACATCTCCTAGATAGTGGGCTGCAAAGTCCTAGCAGCCTCATGCAAATAATGGCAGCTGAAGTCACTTGTTGGAAAGTCTGTAAACTCTGGTTTACAGCTGCACTTATCATCGGTAGCTGTAAGGGAAGTGTAATCAGCCACACAGATTAATTTGCATCTCAATTAGAAAAGAGTCAGAAGGAAGCACTAGGGTATGTTGCTAGAAGGTTGTGGAAGAAATCTCATCAGACACAAAAGCCTCCCAGTACTTAGTACTCCAGCTGAGTGGAAGACAATATCTGAGGTTTAGTTACCATGGGGACCAGAAGCCTGCAGAGCCACAGAAGAATCTAGGGTTTGCACTGTAATCATTTGGTCATGATGACTCAAATTCCACATAGTAAAGAGAACATGAATGTCTTTTTTTTTCTTGGTCTTAAATACTTTTCATGTTGCTGCAGTGATTTGTATTTGTTAAAACATTTATTATAGCACAAAAATGTATTCACAAACATATGAGATAAGTAAAATGTAGTGTGTTTATGATGGCTTATCTTTTGAAGTCTCATGAAAAATGGTTCATTTACACAGTTCAGGCTGAGTGATGGCATCACACAAAATCAAACCAATACTCTGGTTAAATTAGGTAACAAAACAGAGAATTCAAGTAGCATCCTTTTGAAAGATCAGAATCCAACTTCTTTTTGAAGTGTTCTATAGTTCAGTTTTTCTTAATCTTTTTTATAAAGTACCCCCTTTTAAAAAAAGTTATAAGTACCCCCAGTACCTACAGTTTTCAGATGCACCATTTTTTTTTACCATTGCAACACATTTGTTTAAACAACTCAATCGTAGTCAGGCGGGTGATGAAATTTTTGGGTGTAAAAAGTAAAAAAATAATAAAGCGCTATAAAAACAAGACACAAATTCCGTTTTCTCCAAATTTA